TTCAGGACGTCCAGGATCCTGTGGCATGAAAACAGCGGGCCCTGCGGGAAGCGGGTCTCGGAGCCCAGGGGCTTTCCCCAGGATGATTTTGCAACCCGAGCCGTTTCTGGTTCCCCGGGGCCCAGGAAGAACCCACCAGAGCCCATTTGCGGGGAAAACCCTCAGGACCTGTTGCCCTCGAGACCCGTCTGCTTCATGGCAAATCCTAGGGGAGGGACACTCCGCCAGGCCCCAGCTGAGGAGCGACGTCCCCTGGCGCTTGGGCTTCGTCGGGCTCGACCCCTCGGAGAGTTGCAGCCGAACGACGCCGCTGATCACGAAGAAGAGACCGCTGTTGCGTGCCTCCCTGGATATGATGACGTCGCCTTCGTGGTAGTGCTCCTTTAGAGGAACTGTGCACATGCACCGAATCTGGCCAGACCCATCCTGAGCCCATGATCGGTGCATACGCCCTCCTGCCTTGGCCAGGAAGGCATATGCACCGATCCTGGGTCAAGGATGGGCCTTGCCAGGATCGGTGCATGTGCATAATTCTCTTCGCCCGATCCTTGAACATTGCTGTCCGAATGAGTTCCACGACCTCCCGGACGTCCAACTCCGCGAACATGGGCACCTGCAGCAGCCGGTTGGCCAGCCTGCGGGCCATGATCGAGCGGAGGCTCTGGAAACGGCTCCTCGTGGTGGAGGACTTGCGCACGGCGGCCCCGTGCTCGTTGAGCAGCCTTCGGTGGGAACAGTTTGGCAACTCGTGATGACGTCCCATACCATCTCGCTGGCTCTTGCGCATCGGCGCTAATCCACGCTACTCGACGACAGTCGACGCGAGAGAGACGCTGCATCGACGCTGCTCGACGCTAAGTCTGCGGTACCTCATCGAATAACCGACGCTAATCGACGCCAGCGCACCCTACAAAGACGGAGCTGCGAAAGACACACGAGGCTCCCACGCTTTGCAAAGCCGAGTCAGCCGGTTCAGCCCCGCGAAGAGCAGCCCCCCCGCCACCGAGGACGCGAGCATCACCAGGAGCGGCAGCTTCTCGCCGCTCTCCTCGCCCCGGTGCAGCGCGTGCCCGAAAAGCTCGATGGACAGCGCGAAGATAGAAGAAGCAATGACGCCACAAACAGAAAGTTTTGGCGCTCCGCGCGGATCTCTTGGATCCGCGCTGGACCCCCTCCTCCCTTGCGCGCGGAGCGCGCGGAGCTGGGGGCGCCGCTGGGGGGCCCCCGCGCAGATCCAAGAAATCCGCGCGGAGCGCCAAAAGTTTGTTTGAGCAGGGACCGATCGTCCCGGCATTCCTATAGTCCTACCACGGCATGTTCGTAGAACCCACCCCCAAGTGTTCGAATCACAAGAGCAGTGTCCTTAGAACATAAGCCCGATGTGCTAAAGCAAGACAGCCTGAACCAGAAAAGGTTCTACCAAGGACACTCCGTGCAGATCACACAAGAAGCTCTTCGAACATCCTGGGGTGGGCCTGTAGGCGAGCCGGGACGCTTCGCAACTGCTCGAGTTTGGGGCGCTCTTGCTCCTTCGAGAAGAGGAGGGCGCCACCGCCGAAGGACATGAGCACCGCGCGCACCTGCTTCCGCGGCAGGCACGTCACGCCTGCGGCCGTGGCGGCTCTCGGGCCGCTCGGGCGGCCCGAGAGCCGCGCGACGAGCCCGGGCCCCCGGGCCGATTGGTGCTTTGCTTGTGTCTGTTGTCTGTTGATTGCTCTTGCTGTTCTTCGGCCGCGCTGTCGCTTCTGCTTCTTCTTCTTGTTCGGGAGCGGCAAAGAGGGGGGTGTCCAAGAGGGGGGGGTGCAAATCATGACCGGCGGCATGTGCGCGGCCCAGCGGGGGGGCCCGGGACGTAATGAAATAAGAAGAGGCGCCATGAAATCTGAGGAAATATCATGCCCCCCGCCATGATATCCACCCCCCCCTAGTCATCACCCCCCTCTTTTCCGCCCCCGACTTGTTCCTCTTACTCCTTCAGATGCCGGGCAGGGTGATTCCTGCTGCATGACATCTGATCCGAGGCAGGCCGATACGGTCGGTCCCAGGCCACAGCAACACTCCTCAGGGACATGAGGACCGCCGTCGGCCAAGACGAGCAGAACATCCAAGGGCACCCTCCCCAGGATGCACAAGAACATCCAACACACACGACGAACACGAGGGTACCCTCCGCGAGCCGACCTTTTCCTCTTCCTCCTCCTCCTCCTCCTCCTCCTTCTTCTCGTTCTCCTCCTTTCCCTCCTCCTCGTCCTCCTGCTCCTGCTCCTGCTCCTCCTCCTCCTCCTCCTCCTCCTCCTCCTCCTCCTCCTCCTCCTCCTCCTCCTCCTCCCCCTCCTTCCCCTCCCCCTCCTCCTGCTCCCCCTCCTCCTCCTCCGCCTCGTGCTCCTCCTGCTCCTACCCCTTCTCCACCCGCTCCTCCTCCTCCTCCGCCTCCACAACTCTACAATATTTCAATACTACTCTCCTCTCTCCCCTAGCGTCCGGGAAATATTTGCGCCCCCTCCGCGTACTGTTTTTTACACACAAGATCCCCGCGAAACGGGTTTTCGCTTGTTTTTGTTTTTTTCGGCATGCTGCTCTCGCTGAAGCACTGGCCTCATTTTCAGGCTACCACTCGTTCCGAATCGTGCTCCCGCTGCAACGCTGGCCTCATTTCCGCGCTTCCGCTCGTTCCGAGTCGTGCTCCCGCTGCAGCGCTGGCGTTATTATTTCCAGTGTCATGCCACGGCATGGTTTTCGGTCCTTCCAATCGGCCCCAACATCTAGAACATGGCCTCCCGAAGAAGCCATCAGACGTGATTCCACATTCGGTGTCGACTCGTTGATATTTGGGACCGCAGAAGCCGTGGGGCGTCGCCACGCCATGCTATGTCATGCTACGCGTTGATCTTCAACACCATGCTATGCCATGCAATGCTATGCCATGCTGCGATATCCGGTTGTGCGAATAGACAGGCGATCTACGCCATGGTACGGGATGAGAGAGAGGGGTAGGACGTCAGATATGACGCGAACGCACCTAGCTTGTCCTCCTCCCCCTCCCCCTTCTCCTCCTCCTCCTCCGCCTCCTCCTCCTCCTCCTCCTCCTCATCCTCTCGAGTCTTAGCGGGATTGGAGATCCCACGTGCGACGATTTCTTGTGAGCCCCTATCGTCCCAAGGTGCGGCCAGGCAGACACGGGCGCACATAACGCCCCCGAGGAATCGGGTCGGGCGAACCACAGAGGGGTAGTAAAGGGACGCTTCGCGAATCAGCTCATATAGTCCCACCAGCCCTCTGGGCGTATGTGGTCTAGAGCGGTTTCTCTTCAAACCCTGCCCTCTTCCCCTGGGGGGAGGGGTTTACCCCTCCCCCTCCACCCTCCCCTGGACCTGGAGGGGGGGGGGTTCGCGAGACGTTGGGGCGCACAAAATGGCCCAAGATGGCTCTTGGAGGGCTGCGAGGCAACTCGCCTGTGCATCGTTTCTGGATGGGCTGGTGGGGATACTTTTTGGTCTGCGGGCTCGCGAAGCAAATCGAAAGCCGTCCGATCACTAGCCGGGCCGCGACTAGGCAGCAAGAAAAGAGAGGGGCAAGCGAAGCGAGCGCGCGGGCAGCCACTCAGAAGTGCACCGGAAGCGGCACTCCCAACCCAGCGTGCTGGTGGGGATACGCGAAGCGTCAGAGGCGCCCGTCGGTGTCGGAGGCGCCCGTGTATCGGTGCGGACGAGGGGGATGACGGAGGAGGAGGAGGAGCAGGAGGAGGAGGAGGAGGCGGAGGAGGAGAAGGAGGAGGATGAGGAGGAGGATGAAGGGGAGGAGAAATCGGGTCGGGACGCTTCGCGAATCAGCTCACAAAGTTGCTTTCCCCGGCGCCTGCCAGCGTCGGCGGCGCCCGTGTATCGAGGAAGGCGCATGGCGTTAGGTCGGGCATGTCCTCCTACAGGCGGATTTCTGAGGGAAAATAGAACTAGTCGAGCGAAATTCAAAAATAATCAAAAGAGCACAAACAACAACGTCCCCAGACAATATCTATACCGTTCTCGAGTACTCCTCCTGTGGACATGCCCGACTTAACGCTTCGCGAATCAGCTCACGTAGTTGCTCTCCCCAGCGCCTGCCAGCGTCGGAGGCGCACGGGTATCGAGGAACGCTCCTCCTCCTCCTCCTCCTCCTCCTCCTCCTCCTCATCCTTCTTTTCCTCCTCCTCTCGAGTCTTAGCGGGATTGGAGATCCCACGTGCGACGATTTCTTGTGAGCCCCTATCGGGCCCAAAGTGCGGCCAGGCAGACACGGACGCACAGGACGCCCCCGAGGAATCGGGTCGGGCGAACCACAGGGGGGTAGCTAGCGTGGGTCTCCTCCTCCCCCTCCTCCTCCTCCTCCTCCTCCTTTGTCGTCCTTCCTCGTCCTCCTGCTTCTCCTCATCCTCGTCCTCGTCCTCGTCCTCCTCCTCCTCCTCCTCCTCCCTCCCTCTCCTCCCCGAGCGGCTCCGGGTATCGAACCACCTGCGCCGTCGGAATCGCCGCGACTGGACGGTCCACGCGGTGTCCGAGACCAGCGCGGTCGGCTTCGCCAATCAGCTCGCAAAGTTGCTTTCCCGGGCGCCTGCCAGCGTCGGAGGCGACCGTGTATCGAGGAAGGCGCTTGGCGGCGGGGCGCTCCAGACAAAGTACCGCACGTAAATCTGCGATGTCTTCCATTTTCCGAAACGACGCCTCCGGAAGTCTCGACACTTTCCCCAGGGAAGATTTTTCATCGCCATCGCCAGCAGCACGAGCTGTCTGAACTATCATGGGGCGCCTTCACACCTCGTGGCAAGCATCTGGACGCCTGCTGTTGAAAACTGTGGCCGAAAAAGTTTGGTTCCCTCGTGGTTGAATCCGTGGGTTGACGCTCTGGCCGAGGGGCTCTGAGTCGTTCGAGTCGTTCTTCATCCCGAGCCGTTTTTTGACGGTCCTGGGGCCCGGCGAGGGTCCCCAGAGGTCGACAGCGGCCGAAGACCTCCCGGTCGGGATCTTTTTTTTTAAATGCGAGCACGTCTGGACACGCCTCTCTTTTGGACGCCCGAGGTGGGTACGGAAAACATGGGTACACCTGCCCAACAACAAGTGTTGCCCCCAAACCAACAGCGGCCGCTGTTGGGCAGGTGGCCTTCTGTCTCAAGTGGACACAGGCCACGGCGGCGCGGACAGCAAGTCCTGTCCAAAGTGAACAGGAACTGCAAGGGGAGGAGGAGGAGGAGGAGGAGGAGGAGGAGGAGGAGGAGGAGGAGGAGGCCGAAGGAGGAGGAGGAGGAGGAGGCCGAATGAGGAGGAGGAGGAGGAGGAGGAGGAGGAGGAGGAGGAGGAGGAGGAGGTGCTGTTGAGCACTGTACCCGTTCTTTCCGTGCCCATCTCGTTGGTGCAGATCTCTGCCGCCCGTGGCTGGCCGCCAGGGGCCCCTTCGCCGGCCGCGGCCCGCGGGCCTATCGTGGCGCCGATCATGAGCGAGGTGGCGCTCAGGAGGCCCCAGAGGCACGACTCCCAGACCTGGGCGAGCAAAAGCAGCATTCGCCATCGCTCGGGCGTCCACTCCCCGATCTCGTTCATCTATGAAGGGGGGCCCCGGGGCACACAGATAGATACACACAAGTAGCAGGATTCCCCATATTTTTTCCCATATCTTCTGGGTTATTGTCTTCCCCACACCTCCAACATTTTCCAATCTGTTCAGGGGCATCGACGATTAATTGTGTCTGTGTGATTTCTTCCCTCTTGAGTCTAGTTCTCCGCAAGGTGATCTTAGAGGCTCCTCGATGGTCCTCGCCGAGGAAATCGAGCACACGTCCGAGCGATGCCAAGGCATAGACGAAATTTCCAGCAAGTCCGCGCGGATTTCTTAGATCGGCGCTGGACCCCCCGGCGCCGCCAAATGTTCCCAGCGCGGATCCAAGAAATCCGCACGGACCTCCGAGAAACTACGGCAGGTTCGTGCCGTGCCGACTTCGGCGTTGGTTCCTGACACCGCGGGGATCGTTCAACCTTGAACGATCGGCCGTTTCCGAAATGTTAGGCCGCTCAACATCGACCGATTCTGGCTCGCCGGCGGCGCCCAACGTTGAACGCTGGCGGCGGGGTCGCCATCAGTCGACACGACGAGAACCTACCGAATGCCCAGAGATCCGATGTCGTGTTTTTTTCCATACGGGGTCCCTGGAAGTCTCGACCCATTCCCGAGGATCGGTTTCTCATCCTGAGTCGTTTCTCGACGGTCCTGGGGCCCAGCGAGGGCCCCCAGATGCCGAAAGCTGCAAAAAGCCTCCGTCTTAATTTGTCAATGCGTGGGGTCTCTGGGCGTCTGCATGTTCTTTGATCCTCGAAGACCATCGGCTCGCCCGCCATGGCCGGGGCGGGCGGCGGGCGCGCCTCCGGGCGGAGGTGCGCGCGGGACGGCGCCCGGAGCGCGCTCGAGCCAACGGGGGAGGAATCACGTCTGACCGCGCGGCGGACACGTCCGCCCAGCGGACTTCGGGCCCCGGGCCCTGTCCTCCTCCTCCTCCTCCTCCTCCTCCTCCTCCTCCTCCTCCTCCTCCTCTCTCCCCCTCCCTCCTCCTCCTCCCTCCTCGTCCTCCTCCTCCTCCTCCTCCTCCTCCTCTTTCTCCTCCCTCCTCCCTCCTCCCTCCTCCCTCCTCCTCCCTCCTCCCTCCTCCTCCTCCTCCTCCTCCTCCTCCGACCCGGCCGCGCGGACACGCGGTCGCGCAGATACGCTCCGCGCGGGGCAGCCGCGAAAACGCGCCCCGTGTCCGCGAGGTCGCGGCTCAGGGGCCCGGCCCGCGAGGTCGCGGATGCGGATGTCTTCTTCGCCCGCGAGGGCGGGGGGAGGGGGGGAGGAAGGCTGGCGCCGCAGCTTGCGCAGGCCGCCAGAAGGGCGCGATACATGGGAAACGAGGGCGCGTACGCGGAGAGCTTACGAGTCCATGTCCGCGCAATCGAAACCCTTTTTCTGCGTCGCTCGGGTGTCGAGGCAGGAGTGGAAGGGGGGAGGGGGGGAGGAAGGGAGGGGTGGATTCGAGGGATTCGGCCATCACATGGTGATACAACTATCGAAAGAACAGGCACGCCCTAAGACCTCGAAGACGCACAACACGACAAGAAATACGAAGCGCTCGAACTGGAGGACCAACTTCACGAATACCGCGTTCCACCACTTGTGGAACAAACGCTGTCCCGCACTAGGGAGGATTGGAGGGGGGCGAAACAGGGAGGGGGGAAGGGGAAGCGATAAGTGATTGTGTGTGGGTGTGCGTCGTGGCACGCGAACCGTCGACTGCATTCCATCGAGGCGCCGGGGATATATATATGTATGTATGTATGTATGTATGTATGTATGTATGTATGTATGTATGTATGCATGCATGCATGCATGCATGCATGCATGCATGCATGCATGTATGTATGTATGTATGTATGTATGTATGTATGTATGTATGTATGTATGTATATATGTATGTATTTTTGAATATATGTATGTATGTATGTA